GCCCAGCCAGCCCTGCTCTGGGCGTCTCCACGTGGAGGGCGCGTGCTGGGGGACCCCGCCGGCAGGCCCCTCTCGGGCTCCTCAGCCAGACCCCTTCCTGGGGACCTTGAAGACACCCCTCCACTCTGCCTCAGCCCTCAGTCCTGGACTCTCCCGGCTGCAAGTCCAGGAGACAGGAGCCTTTTGTGGGCTCCCCTTCGCGGGACGGCCTCGCGCTGCCCCCCCCCCATGCCTTCCCGGTGGTGCAGGGCGCAGCGCGGCCCTCCTGCCTCTCGCTGTGCTGTTGCAACAAGCGAATAAGAGTTTGTTACTTTCCGTTTGGCTCCTGTCTCAATGGACGGGGCAGCTCCTGGCTCCTCCCCGGGAGGCCCCGCCCCTGCAGTTCAGCCCACAGCGGGCCTGAGCCGGGCCTGAGCCGCAGCCCCTACCCAGGGCTCTGGCTCCCGGACTTGGACTCCGTGTGTGAGGCTGCGTCTGCAGGCCCCTGGGAGGGGTGGGGCCTCAGGGTGTCAGCTGTGGTCAGGAGGCTGGCTGCCCCCCGAGCTCTGCATCCCTGCCCACCCGCTGCCCAGGCCTCATCCGGGAGGAGCTGGCGGCTTTTCCCAAGGGCCTCGCCTTCCACTCACCCACACGCCTTGGTGGTCAGAGGAGCACTTCCCAGCCCAGGAGCGCTTGTCCTTGGCAGAGGGAATCTGCCCACAGCCCTGCCCCCTCCACGCTCACCAACCGCCTCAGCCCTCCTATGGGGCGAGTGTGGAGACTCGGGCCCCTGCTGCCTGGCCGGACTCACGCGTGAAGCACAGTCACCGGCCGACCCGGACGCGACCAGAAAGGCTGGGGCTCACATTCCAACTCAGGGCCGTGCGCCCACGCGGCTCGAGGAAGGCGCCCAGGGCTCAGCTCCCAGGACCCCTGCTCTGGTCCCAGGAGCCCCAGTGCCGCTCCACACAGGAGGCACTTTGGGCAGAAAGGGCACTGAGCCCACAGACGCCCCTAGGCAAGCTCTCCCCACCCTGCACGGGGCTCCCCGTGGGGAGTGCCCTGTCCCCCAGGTGCTCAGCTTAGGACCGTGGCCCCCGCCCACCGCTGGCCACCTGAGACCAGGCCGGGGTCCTGCAGGGTTCTTGGGGAAGCTGCCCTCCACACCCTGGCTCCGTGCCCAGTAGGGTACCTGGGGCTCTGGGGCAGTGGCACTTGCGGGCTGAGGCCCCCGGCCTCAGGGAAGACGGGACTGCTGGTCTCGGGTCTCCGGTCCCCATTGTCCAGAAGAAAACCAACCGTGGTGCGGGGTGTCTCTTCACGTCCTCGCTGGAGGGTGAGGTTTCCTCGGCCCCCGTGGTGACATTCACGGCACCAGGTGCGATTCTGGCCAGCAGCTCCCGGGAGCCCCGGAGACCAGGGAGCAGCAGCCGTCCAGGGCCCGTCATTTCGAGTCCTGTCAGCTGTCCCCCGTCCCCCCGAGATCCACCTGTGTGACCAGCACAGGGAGTACTAGGGTTCTGTCCGCCCCTTAGCTGTCCTGCAGGAGGACCCTAAGCAGTGACCAGGACAGAGCCACCCCTGCAGGCCTTTGGAGCTGGGCCAGGAGTAGGGGCTGAAGTGTTCGCCGCTGTCACCTTGACGCCCCCCTGCGCCCTCTCCTGCCCCCTCACCTCAGGGTCCTGTGCAGCCGCCATGGCCACAGGTTGGCCGCCCTCTTGTTCCAGGGCGTGCACCAGCCAGCCCGCCCCCTGCAGACATGCTGGAGCACCCCTGCCTCCCTGCAGGCCTTTGGAGCTGGGCCAGGAGTAGGGGCTGAAGTGTTCGCCGCTGTCACCTTGACGCCCCCCTGCGCCCTCTCCTGCCCCCTCACCTCAGGGTCCTGTGCAGCCGCCATGGCCACAGGTTGGCCGCCCTCTTGTTCCAGGGCGTGCACCAGCCAGCCCGCCCCCTGCAGACATGCTGGAGCACCCCTGCCTCCCCGGGGTCAGGAGCACGAGTGACAGAGCAGATGGCGGGCGC